GCTATTTACAAAAAAAAAAAAAATTCTGATACAGTTGAGTAAAGCTCTGTTTTGTAATAAATGCACATCAATATTGAAGAAGGATTTCATTGTATATTCTTCTGGCCAGAGGATCATGGTCACTCTAAAGTTTGTGTGGAACGTTAATTCTTTACTGCCAAAACTAGTGAGGTTTTCTAGGTTTTGCCAAAAAACAGACTTTTTTTTTTTCTATTTACTGGTATGGAAAAGGATAATCCTGTATTCCAGTTGAATAATCAGCTGTTTCCTGTAGGAGTTACTTTAGTAGTATCAAAATACTGTAGTGATATCAATGTTAATTCCCACTCTAGTAGGGGTAGCAATTCTTACCTCTATCTTGTGTGATGTTCTTTTGTAGTCTGCAATCTGCATTGTGTTTGGGGAAAAAAGGGGTGGAAAGTGGAATATTAAAAGCTGTTCTACTTCCTTTTCCTATTCTTCTTCCCCATGCCTACTTCTACAATGTGTGATGCTAAGGCACTAATACCACCCACAGCAGCATCTAAAGTTTGATAAGTATAAAAAAGTATGCTTTCCCACCTGAGAAATCTATCTTTTAACATTTCAAAGTGTATTGCTGTGAGCAGCAGTCAAACAAAACATAGCTGCAGAGGGAAAAATTCTGAAAGAATATAGCTGAGGAAAATTTACAGGGCAGGCAGAATTTTTTTCAGGCAAGATCCTGCTGGTTTGTTTTTTGGAAACAGCGATGAGAACTGTCAACATCCAGAAAATGCTTGAAACAGACAAAATGGGTGAGTTCAATTTCTGTGTAATCTTCTGTGTGAAGATAGACATATGAGAGTATTTCTAAAACCATGTGAATCTCTTCAGAGAGCCTTTTTAAAGAACATATTCCATAACCTAGACTCTTACTCCAGGATGTTTTGAGGAAAACTAAATATCTTTTCTTAGATTAGCATTTCCATTCAGGAAATGCTAAAGGTTAAATTCTGACAAATAAAACAATTTTGGGATCAACTGATGGGAGTCTAGCAGGGTTGGAGGTCAGCATCAGAGAAGAAAGAACAAGTGAAGGAAGCAAAATGCTGGAAAAAAAGTACACTGAAGTGATAACGGGGCACAAAAGGTAGAAGAAATGAAGCAGAAACAAAACCAGTACTGGATTGAGAAAAAGATAAATGACAGGGAAGAAAATTAAATTAAAAATGTCCTACAAGTTATGCTTTTTTTTCATGTTGTGTGAAAAGCATCCACTGCTATGAACTTCAGTGTGAAATACATGTGTTCTTGAATTAAACTGAGATGACTTTGTAGAGGCCTAAGTAGGTGGTGTTCCACCCTCTGTGCTTTGATGGTAATGGTCATACAAATTTCTAACTCAGATGGTGCCAGGCAACAGCTGTGTACTTTTGGTGACGTTGATCAGGTATGCATATTCTACGAGAAACTTAATAAGAACCCACTCACAATACAGCAGAGAAGCCTTCTCTGCCATTCTATGTTTGTCATAGCTGCATCTAGAGGACGATAAAAGCTCCCAGGCACTTGGGCCAATCAAACCTCATACAAGCCATATTAGTTTGCAATTTAAATGTCACCTTATGAGTAGTATCTAGGACTGCATGCTACCCAGACCCTCCACTGACTGAAACCTGACCACAATGAGTTGTGAAAAACCTCTTACCACCACCACCACTACTTATGCAGTTCCTGTTCTTTGTGAGCTAGAGCATCCCTGGCATATCTCATGTCTTTTCCACTACAAACATAACTATGGGTATTTGCATTTTTTAAATTTCTATCAATTCCTGGTTCAAGTTCATTGGGAAAAGTAAAGCTGTACAACTTGATTGTTGCACTTTTTTCTAAGTCAGTTTCAAACCTTTAGATACTGATGAGCTTTTAAAAATAATCTTAGATCTTTACATTGGGTTGTTTTGAACATATTGTCACTGATTTGCTACTAATCAGAATTAATGCCACTAAGCAGAATTAATTTTGTTTGATTCTAGTATGAATACAGAATTGAGATATATTTTAGTAGCATTACATGTTTACATTTATCTTGCATTTTGCACATCTAACCAGTAACCAGTGCTCCTATGAATTTCTCTGTATAGCCCTGTACCAAGACCGCAGAATTGGTCAGTAATCATTTACTAGGTACACCTAGGTACTGCTTAGGCAATTAGATTTAAAATTGAAAATAATTCTGTTTGAAGTTGTTAGAGAGGTGTCTAGACAGAAGTAATTTATTACCTAGAATACATTGAAAAATGTCTCAGACGTACCACAACTTGAAATTGATGAGAACTGGGGAGAATGGACTGTAACGGTTTACAGATCTCTGCCAAGGAACAGTGAAACTAGGTAATAGGTAATTCCGGCAGGGGGAGATGGTGACCATCGACTCGTGGGCCACTGACCCAAATTACACCTCAGACTCATTTCTAGAGATTTCTAAGCTTTAATGCACAGAATCAGAAGAAGGATGGAAGTATGATAATGATTTCCAGGAATTCTTGTGTTTATGTATAAATACCTAATGAATATGTAATATTGAATAATATATAAACTGAATGATTCTTGTGCTTGGTGTGTGTGTTGTTGGTGAGAGAGCACTCACTCACGCACCTGGCCATCAATAAAGTGTCTGTTTATTTGCATCAAACTGGTGTCGATAAGTTTTTATACCAGTTTTTCGGGGACAGTACTACTGTTTATTACTTAAAAGCTAATTTCCACAAAAGGCTGTAGTCTGGTTTTAATGAAGTTTTATCAAAATTCCATGGACTTTAATGATATAAGAAAATGAAGTTTAAAATGCATTTTCATTCATGCAGTCAGTCCTTTACATGGACCTTATTCTTTCATGTAAAACGAAGTGGCATTTACCTAGTCCATGAAATAATACACAGTGTTTCTTGTAACTAGTTATTCTGGGTCATGAGACAAAGGAGGCATCTATATTCAAAAGGAATTTCTTGAACTTGCTTACTAGAACTGCTGTAATATACCTTGGCACTCTTCGGCAGTTCTTCCTTTTCTCTGTTACTATGTTTCTTCAATAGCAGAGGGTATAAGGCTGCTTTTTATCCCATGCTTTGTATGGTTATATGAATGTTGCTCCTTCCAGTGCTAAGATTTGATGAAGTAAAACTCAGTAAAGAACAATTTACGATATTGTAAAAGTACAGTATATAGGTGGGACTATGTTTGAATAAAATGGGATTATTTATTGGTAATTAAGAAGCTTGCTTGTACTATTACAAAGCAGTAATCCAGTAGAACTTGGACTGATGGATCCTACAACTTAGATATAGTGTAAGTTAATATTCAGATATGAGCTGGTAGTGTGTGCTTGTAGCCCAGAAAGCCAACTGTATCCTGGCCAACCATATCAAGAGAAGAGTGGCCATCAGGTTGAGAGACATGATTCTCCCCATCTACTCCACTCTCGTGAAACCCTACCTGCAGTGCTATGTCCAGATCTGGGGCCCCCAGCATAAGAAGGATATGGACCTGCTTGAGCAAGTCCAGAGGAGGCCACAAAGATGATCAGGGGGCTGGAGCACCTGCCCTACGAGGACAGGCTGAGCAAGTTGGGGTTGTTCAGCCTGGAGAAGGGAAGGCTCCAGGGAGACCTTATAGCGGCCTTCCAGTACTTGAAGGGGGCTACAGGAAAGCTGGGGAGGGACTCTTATCAGGGAGTGTAGCAACAGAACGAGGGGTAACAGTTTTAAACTGAAAGAGGGTAGGTTTAGATTAAGTATAAGGAAGAAATTCTTACTGTGAGGGTGGTGAGACACTGGAACAGGTTGCCCAGAGTTGTGTATGTCTCATCCCTGGCAGTGTTCCAGGCCAGGTTGGACAGGGCTTTGAGCAACCTGGTCTAGTGGAAGGTGTCCCTGCGCCCATGGCAGGGTGGTTAGGCTAGATGACCTTTAAAGGCCTTTTCCAACCCAAGTTATTTTATGATTTTAGAAATAAAACAACAGTTGTTCAGTAATGTCTTAAAAATAAATACTAAAAGCTTGATAGCCTTTATACTTTTAGTCTATTCTAATCAAATTGTACTTGATTGGTAATAGGCTATTGGAAGTCTCCATATTGGAGATTTGCTTTTGTATAACTCATTACAATTGATGAATGGAATCCAGTTTCTTTAGAGAAGTGGCTAAGCAATACAATCTGCCAAAATTACTTGAATTGCTTTAAATCTGTCTGCCCTTGTATTGCATTATAGTTGTGGGGTTTTTTTGTAGTCCTTATCGTTCTTTGAAATCCATTGTCATTCTAATGTGTAGTCTTTGAAACTCTTATGCAACCAGTTTCAAATAGTCACTACATTTTTTTTAGCGTACATGGATGGTGTTACCCAAGATAACTGAAAAGCATAATTTTGAAGACTTGTTTCTGTATCACAAGTTGAATTTTAATTTAGTTTGTGAAACACACTGAATGCATAACTGATATGGTTAGGATGAAACTAAACAGCAAAGAGATTTTTTTAAAAGCTTTTCCTTTTAGTTAATTATTAAACAGCAGGAGTGTTAATTTTTTTAATAATAAAAGTGTGATTCCAATGTCCATAAGTGTTTATGCAAAAGAAGCAACTTCTTGTACTGAGATATGCTGCCTATATGGTACTAGTAAAGACCTTAGACAATTTGGATAGAGATGCTCACAGAAGCAAGGCCACAAGTGCGTTTACCTAGCGAACATGGAAATAAATTGGTATGTGTGTAGGGGACTGAGAAAGTAAGAGTGTATCTAATGTGGACCCACCTGTGGGGCCAAGCCAATGCATGTAAAAGAGAAGAGCCTGAAATAGGACTAATAAGAGAAGCTGAGTTCTTGAGACAGGAAAGTACTTTAGGAAATATCCAATCTCAGTAACAAAGGGAAAATGTTTTGTTTATTAAAATAACACTTACTGAGAAGGAATCTATTGAGGCTTAGGTTTTGTCTTTTTCCCAAAAACCTAATAAGTCTTCTGTATGTTTCCTTCATAGGGATTGGACAAAGGTTACTTTCATGTGAGAGGCAAAATGCTTTCAGAAAGTAAGGATTCAGCAACATACTTTCCTGTACCTTATGACCTGCCACCAGAACAGTATGGAAGCAAAGGTAAGGTGTGACCAGAGGAAAAGTAGGTGTATTATATATTGAGCAAAGTAATTTGAGTAGCTGAGTCATTTGAACACTGCTGTGTTCCAAAGCTTTATTTTCACATTTTTGTGGCATGACTGCATTTGAGATTATATCAGTCCCACGTTCTGCTTTCAACTTCAAAGAAAGCAACTATAGAGTCTTTTGATTCTAATTTTTTATTTATTGTTGTTTAAGTTTTAGATCAAAAACCTAAATATTATTTTTTCATTTCCATTCCTCTTCTGGGATATTTGCATGCATTAGAAAAAATAGATATTCTTTATAAAAATGTTTTTCTGCAGAACTAATGGGTGAAGGACTGTTGAAAAAGGAATGTTTGGAAGAGAGTAGGTGTGAGGGAAAAAGTCCTCTGGAAGTAGGGTGTGAAGGAAATACCATAGAGCAAATGTGAAAGAATTGCTGCAAATCAGAAGAGAGAAGAGTTGCTTTTGGTCCGTTCTATGTTTCATAGTTTCAGGCTTCCTTTAAGATCTGTGCTGGAATCTTCTTTGGAGGGGCGGAAGGGATATATTTCCTAACACTTGGTTGCAATTTTGTAAATCTCTTCTCAGCTTCTGAGACTATCTCTAGAACATGTAGATCGGGAAGGTGATAAGTACTTCTATGGAGTGATGTTGGCTCAAAAACCTAAAAATACATTGAGAATAATGATGTGTATCTGCAATATTTGGAAAGAGTAAATTCTAAAATTTTTGTTCTTAAAACTAATGCAAAGAAGATTGCAACTAACTTATTTTTTTGAGTAACCATGATCTACAAAAGGCATCAAAGTAAAGCTTGAAATAATAGAGTGTAGCAAAGAGTTCAGGAAAAATAATGTTTATAGCAACTCAAATCTTCCTGTAGATCTTTTGAACTAACAAATGATGTGGGGAGAAAGAATGTTTAAAAGTAGTAAATAGACTTATAGAGTCTTATATAGTAAATAAAACTGAAGACACATTATTTTGGGCTTAATGAAGTTCCCCAGCTGGATCAGAGCCTGCAAGCATGATGCTTCCCATCATAAAGTAAGAATGCTATGGCAAAATCCTCTTGATCAAGCAGCCTGTAGTAAACACCAACCATAAGGTTTCCTTTGTTGGCGTGACCTCTTATTTTACACCCATAAGCTCTCAACCTGTTCATCGCTGTTGTTTAACCACAGCTCTTTGCAGTCAATCTACTTTTTTCTACATAGAGGGCAGACACATCCTGTCCCCGCCCCCCACCCCTTTCTTCCTTGCCTGTGCCTTCTGAACAGTTTATAGCCATTGATCACAATGCTCCAGTCATGTGATTCATCCCACCAAGTTTCAGTGATACTGATTAGATAACAGCTTTCTAGCTGCACACACAGTGGCTTCAAACTCCTGTTTGTTATCCATGCTGTGTGCACTGGTATAGAAGTATTTCAGCTTGGCTGTTAACTGTGTCACCTTTTTAGAGATAAATGCCCTAATTCCTTTGCAGCATTTCACAAGTGTTTCCTTTTGGTTTCTAATGCATCAACAGCCCCTGGCTCTTCTGTGTTATTCAAAACTCCATCCCCTTCCACCAATGAGTCTAGATTAAAGCCCTATTTACAGTTCCAGCCAGCTTGTTTGCAAAGAGGTGAATCCCATCAGCTCCCAACAAAACTGACTTCTCACAGGAAGATCCATGATCAAAGAAGGCAAAACTTTGAGTGTGGCATCAGCTACACAGCCAGGCATTCACCTGTTCAATAGGATTCATGTTACTTTTATAGCTTGCAAAGATGATTTTTCTGCTTTAAGAGATCACTGATTACTTAAAAATATTCTTAAATGGTGACAGGGGCTTGTGCCTGAGGTACTAGCAAACTAAAGGGGAAGAATATACTACCACTAACTGTTGTGCTCTAGGACATGTATGCACTGTCTGCATGTTAACTGATGCTCAAACTGATTTTTTTTAAAGGTTTTTCTAAAAGGTCACACTTAAACTTTTGGAAATTTGAAAACAAAGATTAAAAATTAGAAGCCATGTATATTCTCAAACATATATATAAATATATACTATCCTCCTTGTGCAAAAATGTAGTTGCATAATTAATATTCTTTTTTTAATTCCTGCATTTATCCTACTGTGTCAGTGAGTTTTATGCATATTTCAACCAATTGTAAAGGGAGTTTTCCAAATAGCTTTTTTCACTTTTTGCATGGAAAGCTTATTTCCGTAGAGAACTCATTTGTCAGTAGTCTAGCTTTTGGGTCTAAGCTTTCTCCCGTGACATGAACAGATGTCAGAATTCATGTTATCTAGGCTTTGGCAGTGGAAGCAAAGTCAGCTGCCTGTGCCTTTTCACATCTCTTTCCTGAATATTATGTTTCAGTTCTTCAACCTCCTAGTGGAAAAAATGTTTAAAGAATTCCCATGTTATGGCATGAACTCATAAAATAATCTGTCCTTAACAATACATTTATCAACTCCCAAAGTCTCTGGAGAGTGATATAAATAGATTTATTTTAATAAAGTCTTGAGAAGCACAAATGCAAGTAATTATCCTTTCCCTAAAGAAACCATATTAACTGATCCCTGTAATTGAAGGAGAAAAGGCTCTGGGGGATTTTCCACGAGCTCAGATTCTATAACCATGGGAAAATAAAGTACGCATCATATTCATATAATCAGAAAAATCCTATCAGGAGCAGGAAGGAGGAGAAGCAGGCGAAATACTGAACAGATGGCCAGGAGTGGGGCCATACATTTGCCATGTAAAGTTTGAAGTAGAAGATAAGTATACTGAAATACATGTTCCTGTACTTATCAGAAATACTTAATGTTACAGAATAGTATTAGTATATAATGTAGCAAGATGAAACAAAAAGCATTTCCTTAGTTTGTAGAAATAGTTTAATTGCAGAGATTCATTATTATTCTGTCATAATGGCTGTCATATTAGTTGATGTTTATCAGATGGGACTGGACTTCCAGTGTAAAACTGTTACAGTGAAGTAAATGCATATCGAGAAGCAATAAAATACACCTCAGGACTTACAATGATAAACTCATCAGTAAATGATGTAAATAATCTGTCTGGTTGCAGCCATAATAATTCATGAGGTTGATCTGCAGTCTTTTGAAGTCCATTAAGTTCAATAGTAATGAAATAATTTGGTCCCTGTGCTACTTTTCTCTCACCCCATATAACAGAGGGGAAGAAGATACAGAAGACTTGTCCCCCTTTGCCTGGTTTGCCTCATTAGTGGATGGGTTTCATTCTAAAACTCAAGCTTGGGCAAAACAGAAAAATAGGATCTCTTGGAGGAAACTATAATGAAGACTTTCTTCCTCCTCTTCTTTCAAAGATTTCTAAAGAGTATAAATTGAGGTCATTGTGAGGCAGATAACTTCTTGGGTTTCCACTGCTTTTTTTTTCTCCCAGAGAGATGGATTATCCTTCACTGAAACATAATCATTGGCTAAGCTTTAGTCACTGAAGGACATATTGATGTGCTTTAAGATCGCACTGGTAGGGTAATTATTATACATCACCTCTATGACACAACATATTAAAAATTTTCCCTTTGCTTTCATGTAGTTTTCAGCTGTATTTCAAACTTCCACAGAGCCACAGTTTACAAAACATGAACAGGTAAACTCTAGCTGCTTGTGCCTACCAAACTAATTTGATTTTCTTGAAGGGAACAAATAAAATTTAACTGGATGTCAAACCATGCTGGTAGCAGTATAGACACCTCAAGATGAGATGAGGAGTTTGTAAGATTTCTTCTGTGAGAGAAATCATACCAAAAATATTTTCATGTGAAGTAGCTCATTTTAACAAAAAAACACCAACCAAATAAAATAAAAGCCACCAACAAACCACACTATAATGCTTGGAAAATTATTTGTGAACCTAAAACATGTCTGAAGTAAAGATTACATGATCAGTTAGATGAATGAATCCATGGTTTACATGTATTGTAAGAAAAAGAAGCAGATAAAGATTACATGTGCTTAACTTTCTAGTTACATTAAATGGGGTTAGATTTCTGCCTAATTGGCTGGTTTCTGCTTTTCTAGGAGACCTCAGCAGGTGAAACACATGAAACATTTCTCTGCATTATTCTGCCAGATTTCAGATTTATTAATCTCATGCATTTGTTACAGAACTATCTTACAGCTCTACTGAAAAAGGGATGAGCTAAAAATATATTTGTAAGCAGTTCTTTGAGTTGTGACTTAGTTACAAGGCAGCAATTCATATAAGCTTTTTCTGAGCTCTGAGTTCAAAATGCTCTGGAACTGCTTAAACCATCTGGAAGAGAACCCCTTAAAGCAGGGGGGTAAGTAATTTCCGATAAACAAATTACTCCTCATTCAGTTTTTAATTCAGTGTATGTATTTAAATCAAGGAAAGAAACTGGCTGTTATAGTATACAGAATATATATATATATACAAGAAAATAAGAGGTTCCAGCTCAGTTCAGATTAATCTGAAGTTTGAGTGAAACTACATATTACTCCCTCTATATGTGTATTATATGAATTACATTAGTCTTTGGTTATTTTGCTCTTTGTTGAAGATTTCTTTCCTGAGCCATTCTAACACTTTGTAAAAATGTATTTCATTATTTTCTACAGGAAAATATATTTTTACCCTCGGTAACTGGGGGCTAAAGCTGTCAAATCTAATGCTGTGAGAGACTGGAAGAATAGTGGGCAAATGAGATGGAAATTTGCTTTAATGAAGACTGAAGCATTATTGAGAAATGAACAGTCCACTTAACAATCCATTAGCTCTCTAGCTGAAGTTTTCAATGTCTGACAGCTGTGATTTCTTTTTCTTAAGGATGCACAAAAGGATCTGTAACATGTCTCTCAGGAACAGCTCTCTCCCTTGTGATGGGCCCTGCTTACTGTTCAATATTCCATTGCCACACTTATGTGGAAGAGCAAATTGACTTTTTCCTTGTAACTGCAGATATACAGTGCTTGATATTTTGTCTAGTTTTCAATGAGTGGGAATTGGGAGTACAGTGAAATTACATTTGGTAAATATTTTCAGTGATTTCAGGAAACTAGTAACACTCTATCTTGTTTATTACACATAAACTGTTGTTGGGTTGCATAAAAACAAGAAAAACTTCATAGCATATTTGCCTCCAGCTCTGGTAGGTTTAGATACTTGTGTTTATCTTATTATTGAAAGAGTGGGGATAATTTTAATTTAACCTGGTGTGTACCGGTGACAAAGTGCCTAAAAGAAGAGATCAGTGTTTTGTCCAGCAAACTAGAGGAATCCTTTATTACTCTGAACTCCCTTACAGGGACCTGCTTTATCCTCAGGTCAGAAAAGTTCTGGGAAGATGTCACTGTTCATGGTCTCTACCTTTCTCCCACCTTTGTTTTTTTTTGTGTAGAGTCCTAGAATTCTCCACTTTGTCAAGTAATTAAAACATTTCTGAAGAATTTAAGAAGGAAAACTTCTGGGGAAATCATTAACATTTTTCTGTACCTCCTTTTTTTTTCCTAATTACTGTTGCATAGCTACATGGAACCTGTGTACTTTCTAGAGTTGGAAAGAACTCGATTGGCAGCACCCTTTATGAGTTTTTAGAGGATTTCCAAGTTCTTTCAGTATGCTTAATATTGTACAAATGCTAAGAGAACACCCATTCTTCTGAGAGGATGACAACTAAAAGCTAGTCCTGTTTCTAGGGATACTAATACATTGAAGAGAAAATATTTCACTTATTTAACACTTGGAGCAATGGTAGATATAATTACACGTTGTCATTGTAGTTCATATACTGGAGTGGGTGGTGGGGAGCAGGGGCTGGAACCAGTTTCAGTCTGTGTTGACATCCATTTCCATCCTAGGTGGAACCAAAAGCATTATTATTGACCAGTAAAGCTGCAATTTGAGATTGAAGTTCTCTTGACATCAGACTCTTAGATGGCCTCCCAGAATCCAAGTGTAACATTAGAATACATGGCAAAACCTGTTTTCAAGCTTTTTATAATGACTGTGAATTAACATGTTGTATGAAAGGAAACTTGAGTTAGAGTTACCGTTTAGTTTGCCCACTTCTGTGTATTGTTTTAATAGGGTTACAATCTTGAAAGACCAGGAGAAGGCACTAGATTGTCTGATTTGATTTGCCACATGTTACTAGCCAGTTTCTTTGAGCTCAAAGCTTGTGTTTGGCTAAGAGGGATCTTCCCAAATATGCTTCAGAATATTAGCTGAGAGCATCATCATGAGACAGCAGATTCACCAGATGGTAGATATTTTTCTTCTGTCACTTACTCTTCTCTTCTTGCTACAGTTATTCTCTCTTCATATATTGTGAGGGCTGGCATTGGATGCTGTAAACTTAAAATTGGACAACAGTAATCATAATCAACAGCTTATCTAAAATTTCAATTGATGAGCATGTAGTAAATCATCTTTAGCAAGTATATATAGTATATCATGTAGGTGAGTAGCTTCGTTTTGATAAATGAACTACTGTCATCCTCAGTCCAGTTCAGTTTAATCTGTGCATTGTACAGATTGTCAGTGTCGTCTTTCAGCGCTCATTTTGTAGATGGAGAAAAGCAGCGTGCTAGATTTATATAAACTTATTTGAGAAAAACCACTGGAAGGATTGAAGGAGTTTTCTCTTTATTTCAGTAGGAGTAGCCTGAGAGAAGTAAGATAATAACTTGGCTTCATAGACCAGCTCCTTTTCTGCATGTATATGGTAGGAGGAAGAGCCTAGAGCAGGCTGCAGAGCCAGCAGTTGGCTGCTGCTGCATTGCCTTTTCTCCTTCCCGAGTGAGAACAGCTTCTGTATTCTGAGAAGTGGAGGGAACTGTCTGCTGCAAACCTTTTGCCTATCTACAGATGTAATGTTTGGAGTGAGGAGTAAACTTGAACATCTCAGAGTTCAGGCAGCATCATTCTTAGACACAGAATTCTTACTGCCCATATGAAGAATACTAATATGTTACAGCACTTATTTATAATTCCATTGGATTAAGAGATGCACAGGACAAAACTTAGCTGCCTGTGGGCCAAACCCAATTTGGCTCTGTTACTGTTCTTGTATACTGTCTGAAATACAGTTCTCTTACAGCTGGTGGGGACTATGTTGGGATATGATAATTACATTTAAAATAATATTTAGGGGGAAAGCAAAGACTTTTGAAAACTCCCAAGTCTTACTGGTTTAGAAAATAGCTGAATAAAAACTTCCAGTAAACTAAAATTGCACATGGAGATATGTGAAAATTGCTGTGAATTTTGACCTTCCTCTAAAGGGAGGGGAGGAAGAGAATAAAAATTTTACATTTAATAACTGAATTTGTCATGAGCATGTTTTTGTTTTGGTTTACAGATCAACCATGGATTTGGAATATTCCTTACACTAATGCCCCTGATACACATGGAAACATGTGGGTTCCATCGTGAATGTTTCCAGTATTGTGATGGTTCACTTACTGACACTGAGCCTGCCACGCTACTTGCAAGACTACTTATTTCTGGTTTTTAAGCTATAATGTCTGCTATAATGGCTAATCTGTAGTTGAAAGAAACATTAAAATGTTGATAATGGGGAGATTCTTGGAGATTCTATAACCATATTATAAACGAAGCTGCATTTTTAAATACCCTTTTATATGCTTTTTCCTTCCTGTGGTTCCTAATATGCTTTTCAAGACTGAAACAAGTGTAGACTGTTCTCAGCGATTCTGCATTTTTAGCTGTAATGAATTTCAAATTTACTGTTCTGTGAGACTATTAGTTGGCCCTTGTAGCTGGAATAAAAGTTATTGTATGTAAAATTTAAATAAAAATAAAGTCAATCTTGTTTATATATCCTTTGTTCCATTTCTAAGTATACACTTCAAATTGGATTGAAACTTTGTTTTGCAATTATCACTTCTGATGCAAGCTCTAAAATACTTGCTGGTTTGTCATCTTGCAGTATTTGGCTTCTTATCAGTTATTTCCTAATCCTCTCTTTTTAAATTTTTTTTTCCCCTTGCAGACATTCAAGTGCTGTCCAAAACACTAAATTGAAGTGGATGGGCTTGGATGCTGAAGAGTAGTCTTAAATAGTGCTGTGGAATGTATGAACAACCGGTCCTGTAGCCTTGGAAATCTTGTAATATAGTGTAGTTCTTCATTCCAAATTCCCTCTGGATCCCAAATAATCTGATTGGGTATCTGTTCCAGTGCTACCTCATTCATTTTGCAAAGTTATTCCCCAAGACAGTTTGGAGTACACTGGGAGTACTTTACTTCCTAATATTTATCTAATGTCTATTGCTCTTTCATTCAAAAATTACCGTAGAAAATGTGTTTAGGAAATTGTCCTGGCATCTGCCTAACAAGGAGAAATTTTCTTTCGTTTTCCTATACTATTACAGACTAATCTATAGATCAGTTCTGTGAAGTACTTCTTTTCCATCTTTCATATCCTTTACCTGTTGTTCTACACTCTCTAGTTAACATTCATGTCCTCTGATGCAGTTATCAGGTGGTATTTCAAATGAAAAAGGTTATGGCTTTGAGTTATTGTTGGGGAAATTATTGTACAGTCTCTTATTCAAAGGGTGAATGGAGCTAAATAATGGAATAGCCTTGCCTATATCTGAGGAATTTTACACTCACTCTTCACAGCAAATTCCAGGAACTTGGATATTTAGGTTGCTCATTTCTTAGCTTGGGTTGGCAATGTAGAGGCCCAGTGATGCTAATTATTGTTTTATCTGGTTCTGAGAACTTTGCAAATAATGTGAGCTGAGTATGGGTCAGAGTGCTGTTGGGATGTCCACGGAACAGATAGGAAGATTGCTTTCTGCTTTTACCTTCCCTTGGTTCTGTGTGCAGAATCTTTAATGTTTATGCTATAGGCAGAGACTGCTTGATTCTGTCCCTGATGATCCTGAAAAGACAGGGATCAGGGAAGGTAACATGAAAATAGAGCAGTGTGCTCTAAAAACTGAGATAACTTTATAGCCATTGTTATGCTTGTCAACAGAGTATTCTCATTTTAATTATTTTCATTCTGTGAGAATTAGAGAAGTTGTAAGTAGGAAGGTTTCCTCATATGAGGAAAGCTTTAATAAGAGTTCTAGGTCAGCTAACAACTAATAGACATTTAGCCTTAATTTGTGAAGAATGTCACTTATTAAAGTTGCATATGTGAGTATTTCTGGTTTTGTCACAGAGTGGTTTGACCAGCTCTGAGGCATTCCTGGTTAAATTCCAGCTGGAATTTTTCAGTTTCCAGGAACTTGGCATGATTTAACTTCAGCTCTCCAGGGCTGACATTAATGCAGTGTCAGAAGATCTTTCCAAAGTCTGTTGGTGGGAACAAATAAAGCAAGTGATCACTTCTGCTAGGAAAACAGCAAATCTTTCTAATGCAGAGCTGTGACCCAGAGCAACTTGGACTGTGGTATAAGCGTGGCAGTGAGGCACTGCTGTGTGACAGAGTGGAGGAAAAGGTGAAGGCTGGGGGCTTGGTTTGCTGGACAGTGTGTGCTATGAAGCAAACTAATGGTCCAAATAAAAACTGACAGAGACTGACTTTGGTTGAAACAGATACACATATAGCTCTGTTTTAACTATTTAAACAATGTTCTTGCAGAATGGCAAGAAAAACTTGTTCTGAAGAAGAAACCACCTTAAGATAACTAAAACTCCAGGGTGGTGCAACAGTCCTTTGCAGTCAGTCCTATGCAACCGAAACACAGATGGCCTTCATGGCACAGTGGAGCTGGACGGAAGGTTCTTGACAAAACTTCTGGCCAGACAATGCTGTTTAATAGCACTTCTCTAGACGTGCAGCCTCTCAGATGCCAGGACAGATTTAAAAACAAAATTTTTAAATTTTTCATGTGCAGAATATTTTGAAACTCCATTTTTCATAGCACCCTAGTGATTTTTTGTTTAATGTGAGGGCCCTGACTCTTGGAAAGTGGAACTATGAATAAATAGGAGAAAACAGACAAATTAGTCCAATGCACAGCAGAATGTCTGACATACATAAATGGATTTGACTCTGGGATCTTTGGTTAAAGTGATGTGTAGGTCTGAGACCTACATGCTTCTCTTTTATTTTTAAAAGTTAGTTTTAACTTTTTTTAAAAAAAGACAATAGCATTGACTGTAGATTGTTATTCAGCACAGCATCTTTTTCATTCAATAAATTGCTGATAAATTTATCTTGCTGCTGCTGAGAATACCCACTGTGACATACTCTGGCCACCCAATGTGTGTATTTGAAAAAGCTAGCATGGGCATGTAATGTTCTTTATAATGCTAGATGCTACCTAATCCCACAGATCAGTAAAGTTGCTGACATTTCGCAGCTGTGGAATTAATCACTGTGACCCAGGATGTCAGAATTCTAGCTGAACACTGATGGTAGTCACACCGTTCCCTCTCTTTAACTGGCATCTTGAAGGGCGAAAGAAAAAAACATGGCAAAAAGTACTGGAGGCTGAAAGGACCTGTGTAAATTCAGAGAAATAAGTTGCTATGTTAATCTACTGGGTTTATCTATTTTATATATTGTCCTTTCTTTTTTGTAATATACTAGCTTTCCTGCTTCTCCCATTTATCAAAATTTTATCTCTACATAAACTAATTCCCAGTTACTGATTTATAAACATTGTTGCAGTGATTTCAAGGTATTGTGATTCCCTTGTATTAATCATAGTAAAAAGTTTATCCTTCAGTTGAAATTATTTTCCATTTCTTAGAATGGAGGAGGTTCCTGTATTCTTCTACTGACTTTCTGACTCTGTTCTGACTTTACACAATGTTGCTCTGGTGTCTCCATTTCTCCCTTAACATGCAACTCGCTACCATACACAGTTCTAGTACCCAACAAGCATGAACAAACAAATTTTGCTCTGAATTGTGGTTGTTCATTACACAGCATGGAAAACTAAGCTATTAACCCGCCACTGTTTTTCTTACTCGAAATATTGGAAGAAAAAAGCATGCAAATGTGAAGTGGCTTCCAAAAGCAGAAGCTGTTCTTGAGGACAGCTCTTGAGGAGTCCCTTGTAGGGACTTTTAAGCTATGTCTATCTCTGCCTCACTTTCCCAAGTGTAAAATTTAATTTGTAAATATCTAAAACCAAAAATACCCCTGTAGGGTATTCTCTAATTATAAATGAAATATTGCCTTCCCCAAGAAGACTGGAATATGATTATCAGCCACACTTTAGTAACTGATGTGAAAAATGTGAAAAAACTTTTCACATTAAAATCTCATACAAGCATGTTCAGTTGTCTTTACTGCTAAGCATCTGCTGCTTTGTGAGGGATGAGTACAGTAGATAAAGGCAAGAAGCAACATCCTCACTGAATATGAGCCAGCAGTGTGCCCAGGTAGCCAAGAAGGCCAATGGCATCCTGGCTTGTATCAGAATTAGTGTGGTCAGCAGGGACAAGGAAGGGATCTTACCCCTGTACTTGGCACTGGTGGGGCTGCACCTCAAACACTGTGTTGACTTTTGGACCCCTCACTACAAGACACATTGAGGTGCTGGAGTGTGTCCAAAGAAAAGCAGTGAAGCTGGTGAAGGATCTATTGCACGAGTCTTGTGGGGAGCAGCTGAGGGAACTGGAGTTGTTTAGTCTGGAGAAGAGGAGGCTGAGGGGAGACCTCCTCACCCTCTACAACTACCTAAAAAAAGGTTGTAGTGAGGTGAGTGTTGGTCTCTTCTCCTGAGTGACAAGTGATGGGATTAGAGGAAATGGCTCTAAGTTGCACCAGGGAAAGTTTTTATTGGATATTAGGAAAAATTTCTTCACCAAAAGGGTTATCAAGCATTGGAACAGGCTGCCCAGGGAAGTGATTGAGTCACCATCCCCGGAAGTATTTAGAAGAGGTGCAGATGTGGTGCCTAGGGACATCATTCAGTGGTGGACTTGGCAGTGTCAGGTTAACAGTTGGAGTCGATGATCTTAAAAGTCTTTTCCAACCAGAATGATTCTATGATTCCTTACTCCCAGAGATGCAGTCTCTTTGAAACTCTTAGCAAAGTAACAGGGATATTGAAAAGTTCAGCCTACTCTAGATGCCCCAAGTGCCAAATGTTCATGACATTTGGGGATTTTTTCAAATTAGTTTGTTAACATCAAGGTTATTAAGTTCCAGAAGAGGTTTTGTTCAGCGTCAAAGGTAATAGAAGGCTGGTTTCTTTGCTCCTCTAGCAAAATGTTTCATTAAGTATAAAATTTGTTCAGAAGTAAATTGCAGCGCTCTCATAGCTTCTCCCAAGATAAGCAGTGCATTTTAGTTAAGTGTACCAGCTTATCACTTCCAAAGGAGATGCTTAATTAAAAAAGTACCGACACTGTTAATGAGAGTAACTAAATCTTTGCATAAGTCTTCCAAGTAATTTGCTGATTCATTAACAATAGCTCTGTTCTGACCAGACATTTGTTGGTAGTCATTACTAGGGTACGCAGTAACCGTAGATTTCTTAATTACAGGTTATCATTTAACATTACCAAAAGAACTAGTAACTACATGGATTTTTTTCTATTATTTACAATTGTGCTAAGCCTCCTCAATACCAATCTTTCTGTCACTAAATACCTGCACACAGACACCAGAGAGCTGCATGCTTGTCATGGTGAGGCGTAAGGCAAATGTAGCAGGTTTCCTGACAATGCTACAAGTGTCTGTACTGAGGTTAATGGCAATGCATTCAGTGTTTGGGCTCCAAGATGTCAACTTCCCACTGTGCTGATCCAAGCCACCCAAGAACAATTTTGATGGATGGAGACTTCAGTGCAGACTGAGAGTGCTCAGTCAGTTCTGCTGCCTC